TCAGTGTATTGGTCTTAATATATAAGCAGTGGGACTAAATCAGAAATATGATGAAGGTTTGGATCCGTAAGTGTAATATGCTTGAGGTCATTGGCTCGAGATGTATACTCTCTTGTATTTTTCTCAGTCGCTCTTCTTCTTTGCAAGTACATTTGCCGTATGTTTCTAACTCAAGTTCTATTATAACTTTGTTTCTGCACAGTAACCTGGTAACCCAACCGGTGTATCAATTCAAGTATGTTTTCTCCTCCAAGATCTCATATCATATCTGATGTATGATCTTGTCTTTAGTAAAAAAGAAAAAAAAAATCTATGGAAATCTGAATCTGGCTAGAATAATTTAAAAATAATACTATTTTTCAATTAAAGATATATATTTTTTCAAGAAAGTATGTTAATATATATCTTTATTTTGGGTTAAATAAGCATTTAAAATTCAACTCAAAATCTAACTACTATTTTAAATTTAAGTTTATCTTCATATACTAAAAATAAAATTCACGAATTAAATCATAAAATAAGTAAATCGTTTAGAGTTGAGGAGGGTAGTATTACATATACGATGGTCCATGAGGAGTAGTTTTGACAGCTGGGGAAGATTTTCAAGTGTTGGTGAATTCCTTTTCTTAGGGCATGGGGTTTGTGGCATTCTAGATTCCCCACACCCATATACTTGGCTTGTCGCTTCATAATTTTGCTAAACAATAAAGTGATGGGGCCGTCAATAAAGTTAATTTGGTGTGGTGGCTCCAAACCAATCAAAAAGAGAGAAACATGAAGACAAGGAATATAATGTGTGTGAGGGAGAGAGGGAGAGTATTGGCCATTTTCTAAGAATAAAGCTTGTATAAAGCAAAAGACAAACAATCATGTGGATCGTATTTGGGCACAAAATGTAGTTTAAATAAGGAACGCATGGGTGTCTACTTCACTTTATTACTGAACCATTGCTACTTGAGAGGGGATGGATTAGCTTTAAATAAATTAAACAACATCGCAATTAATTGAGCAAACACCATTAATAATGAAATCTTGCCACAATATGTATTTTCTTTTCTTTTTATTATAAGTCATCTTCAACCATTTTACATAAATCAAGAAGAGGTAGTTGGAATATTAACTTTATCTAAAAATAAAATAAATTTTTAATTTTACTTCTACTTAAATGAAAAATATTTTAAATTTATGTCACATTCTCTCTTATGATAAATAATTTTAAATAAAAATAATATTAAAAAATATAATTAACATTCTATCAAGTATCTTATATTAAAAATACAAAAACTCTTTTAGAAAATATCCTGTAATAAGATTGGAGGTCCTTCGAACTAAAACATAAGACATGAATAACTAATTTACAGCTATAAAAAATGTTAATAATCAAAATATTAATTTCTTAAAAAATTATATTTTTTAATTATACTTTGATTAAATATCCTATATAAATATCATGATAATGATAATTAAAATTTTAATGTATTATTTTTTTAAAAAAAGTAATAAATAAAGTAGGAATGTAGTTCAAAAAATAATTATAAAAGTTATTTAATATTCTTATTTTAAATTAAATAAGACTTTTAAAAAATATTTTATATTATGATTTGGTGTGTGTGTGTGTGTGTGTGTGAATTTACTTTTGCGGGACAGCTGATTGCATGTCCATCACGTTTCTTTTGAGCTAAATGGACACAGAAATATGACAACTGTTGAGAATTTTGCTAACTTTGGAGTTAAGTTTACTTCACTAAGCGTAGGTTATTACTTATTAATAGTCCACCATCCTAAATTACAAAACAATTTGCTACAAGAATATATATATATATATATATATATAATAAAATTTAATAATAATATATTATAAAATTACTTTTTAAAATAAAAGTATAAAATTTTAAAAATGTCATTCATTTAATATAAGTTTACACCTACAGATTTAATTATCACACTAAAATCATTTTAATTCTCTCTACATCTGAAATATAATATTTGAAAAATATCACTGCTGAACCTTTATTTTTATCAAATTGTTTCATATTTTAAAATGATAAAATAAATTTAAAGTTAACTTGTAATTTGAGATGGATGGAATAGTAAATGATTTAAGGACTTTGAATTAATATATATTTTTTTAAATAATAATCACAGACCAGTCAGAATTTTGGACAACTTTTGCTTCATCAGTTAATTAATATCTGACCTCATTTTTTTTTACACATCCTATCATTGGTATGATTGTAATTTATATTCCCTCCAATTTTTATCATCAAGACTCGATATAGATTTACAAAGTTCATTAGACAGAGTGCGTCTTGTATTAAAGAATATGATGATGATGAGTTTTATGATAGGGCCAATAGGAAGTACTCCTTATGGTCTTGTTTGTAAGATAGAGAGAGAATAAATTTTTTAATCCATTTATAAGCCACATCATTAAATATTTTTCATCACAATTTTTTCATTTTATCATATTAAAGTTTGTATATTTAATAGAGATATAGTTGAAATATGAGTTTTAAGTTTTTCTTTACTTTTGTTAAAATATTTTGAAAGTTACTTCTAAATAAGATCAGATAAATATACTATTTTACTCCCAGCTATATGATTAGATTTTTTGTCCAAATTATAAAATTCATTTTTAATTTTGGCCATATGTGATTAAATTTCTAATTAGACGGCTGCGTTAAATTTTATGCGAGAGCTAATTGTTCATATTTGAATGATGGTATTATAGAAAAACAGTAAATATTTCAAGCTTATCAATTGATAATTTTTTGTTTAAATATATAAAAGTGTATTACCAGAGGGAATTATAAAACTATTAATATATGTCATGCAAGGAGAAACCAACAAAAAGTAATGAAATAATATCACATCTTATCTTCAAACTTGAAAGTTTAAGGTTATAATTTTCTTGTCTTTTACAACATATCAATTATTAAGCACAATTTTATTTGTTGGGAGACTTCCCACATAGGCCCTAGCTAATCTATTCAACACTTGGACAATCTAATATAATTAATATAATCCACAGCAATTTTCATGAGATGTATCATTGCTGCCCAAAAGACCAAAGTGAAAGTAAGGATTAGAAAAAGAGGCCACGAAATTAGAAAGGCAAAGAAAGAAGCATTGCTTTTGGGACAGTCAGACGCTATCAATTAACCAAATAGTTGCCACAATAATAAACAAGGTCTTTTTCACAAAAAAGAATAAAAAGCGAAGTGCAAGTAAGGATTGAACATATTTAATTTAAAGGAGGAGCTAAGGAAGTGGCACGTAGGAGCGTTGGGAAGGTGCTTCTGTTTTTAAAAGAAGACCCATAGAGAGAGGCTTTCTTTATTTAAGACGCCGTGCCATATGGCTGCTGCTCCGCGTAAATCTTTTTTGTTTTTTTGTTTCTTTGTGTGTGACTATTTAATCATATATTGCTTTTAATTTATCCCATAGACGACCTCTCAAATCTTGATCATCCTAAGTAGAGCCAAGTGTATGCCCGTCTAAGTTTTCAGTCTTTTTTCTCTCCTCTCCACTTTCCATCAATGTTATAATCACTTTGTCATTTTTATCTTCATAATCTCAATCAAGTCAGACGTGTAAGTCGACACTATTTTTGGGAGAAATTCTCCCAACTTCTGCTTTCATTAGGAATTCTCTCAAATTTTATGCATGAGAACATTTCTCATGAAATTTTAAGCATTATTTTCTCTCGAATTTAGAATGAGGAAAACACTATTTTGATGCAGTGATATATATAAGATTAACGTGGATAAAAATATTGAACTACGCGTGTCATTTGAAATATAATATACTAGGAGGCAAAGTTATGAACAAAAGGATGAGGACGAGAATTGCTAGAAAGCCAAACATCTGTTAAAAGACTTCCGAAAATTAAAAAAGTTTTTGCAAAGAAGCGTTGCTTTGGGATATTTATAAAATAGATCCCACTATAAGTTCGGTTAAGTATAAAATAGAAACGTCTTTGTTGTTGATTATTTACACAAAAATAAAAAAAGAAAAGCCAAAGCATATTAATACATGTTAATGCAGAGATTGAATCCAAGTAAAGAGGCCATAACAGAGGTGGGTCTACTGGAGAGGGCTTACCACTTTTCTAAGGTTATTTAAGATGGCAGGCCACCCACTCCACGTTAACCTCAACTTTATGACATCATATCATTATGTATATAATTATAGGATGTAAAACTTGCGATAACCATATTTTTTTGTGTTATTTTCTACGAATGCAATATGAAAATTCAATTTGAAAATTCCACTCGTAATGAAGGCATCTCATGGAAGAGCATGCAAAGCATTCGTCATTCTTAATTTTTGTGATTTTCATGGTGGTGCTGTGCACCTTCCTACTCTTAAGCCATTTAAAACTATGTCAGGTAATAATAGTGCAGTAAAACGTGCGCGCGTGCGCGAGTGATTACACTATTCACGTCAGTTTTATCTTACAGTGGAAAGTGTCTTTCTGTTTTGGTCTCTTCTAGCAACAGAGAAGACGGAGTTAAAATATTGCAGCAAGCATCTCAAATACTCAAAATACAGTCAAATCGTAAGTCTAAGGTAATGATCCCCAAAAGCCGGAAGAATAGCTGCACATCTATGTTCCGCTCGGATTTGAATTCAGTGACTATATTTAATACAGAATACAGGCATTAAATGCTTGTACCATCTGAACCATTAAAATCAAGATCAATGGTTATGAATTTATACATCAACAACAACAACAACAACAACAAGCCTTTATTCCACTAGGTGGGGTCGGCTACATGGATTGCAAGACGCCATTGTGCTTATGAATTTATACATCATTTAAAATTAATGAATGAGTGAATTTATTTAAATCGTTGATTTAGATTTAAACAACTCAGATGGTATAAGCACTCAATATCTATATTAAGTACAGTCACTGAATCCAAATCTTACTTCGCTCTCATGCACTTTATTTAGGCTCAAATAGAAGAAACAAGAGGTCATTAATTAAAATAGCATTTACAAAATCCAAAACCAGTAATTCACATCTCGTTTCTATTATTAGCCATATCACTATATCATATTACATAAACAGAGAAAAAGCCGCAGTAGATCAGATCATTCTAATTCAAATATATAATACAAGATCTTGACGTGGTAAGGAGATACAACCACACATTATAATGAGATTCATCAGCATACAGAGAAAGCGAGGCATATAATCCCCCTAATTTTCTTTTGAGGACTTGGAGCTTGCTGATGAGATGTTGCTTTTGGCTTGCGCAGATACTGCTGAGGTGTTGCTTCTTGCCTGTGAACTCTGGTTGGAGCTTGAGTCAGTGAAGAAAACAATGTTCTCCTGGTTTTCAACAAACACTCGGAGTGATCTTGGAACAGGAGGCAAATTCAAATCCAAGACCCCCTCAAGTATTTGAACTATCTGTCCCATTGATGGCCTGTGACTCTCTTCATCTTGTACGCACCATGAAGCAAGTTTTATTATCCTAGTCAGCTCCTCAATGTCTGCATTTCGCTCCAATGCAGGATCCAAAAGGTCAAGAACATCACCTCCTTGAATCACTACATTTGCAGCCCATGTCGGAAAGAACTTAACTTGACCATCTTCAGATGCCTCTGAATTCCTCCTACCTGACACAAATTCAAAAAGCATCATTCCATAGCTATAAACATCAGCTTTTGCTGTGATAGCCACACCAGAAATCCACTCTGGGGCAAGATAACCTCTTGTCCCTCTCATGGTTGTGAGAACCCTACTGAAATCCCTTCCAACGAGCTTTGCAAGGCCAAAGTCTGCAACTTTTGGGCAAAGATCAGAATCTAAAAGAATGTTTTCAGGCTTTATGTCACAGTGTATGATGCAGTCTCTGCACTTCTCATGGAGATAAGTTAGTCCCCTGGCTACTCCTTGAGCAATGTTGTACCTTAGTTTCCATTCCAATTTCTTGGAGTTTTTTTCTTGAAACAGATGGGCATCCAATGAGCCATTTGGCATGTAATCATAAACCAGAAGCTTTCTGTTGCCTTCAGAGCAGAACCCACGAAGACGAACAAGATTAACATGTTGGACTGTACCTATAGTACTGACTTCTGATCGGAACTGTTTCTCACCTTGGCTTATGCTTTCAAGCTTCTTCACTGCTATGACACTAGAATCCGGTAATGTGCCTTTGAAAACAGAACCAAAACCTCCTCCTCCTAGCTTTTCGGAGAAATTCTTGGTTGCATTTTGTAAATCTCTGTACCCAAATGCCATCAATGAACCCTCTACCGATTTTCCTTTTCCAACAATTCTTCTCCTTCTCCTGATTATCACAAACAGCAGAATGGCCAGGAGAACCCCTAAACCCCCTACAATGCCCACCACAATACCAATAGTTTCCCCATTTTTCTGTTTAGTATCAGAAAACTCAGAAGCTGCAAGTTTTAGATATAAAGTTTCACCATTACTGTCATCTTGAGAAAGTTGCTGCAGACTTAGTAAATCTCCATTCCAAACAGAACACCCATTACTGTTATAAGCATAAGCAGCGCAAGAGCAATTTTTCAAGCACGTGGATTCGCATTCACCAACATTCCCTACTCCCACAGATTGTGAGTGTTTAGGTAAGGCCACGTTTGGCATTGCCAAAAACCTGTCTTTCTCTCTATTAGATGAACTCGGATTCTCACACTGCAACTTGGTTTTCCTCACACACCCACCCGAGTGATCCTCAAGATCCCAATCAGTTTGTGACTTTGGCTTGAAACCAGTCGAGCAAGTACAAAATGGCAGGGAATTCTCATTGCAGGTCCCAAATGAGCCACAAAATGCATAAACCTCACATTGTTGTCTTGGTTGAGACCAAAACAAATTCCACTGCTTCGTGCTTTCTAGCCACGAGAGTTGCTGGATCTGTCCCGAGATATCCATCACGAAACGAGATATAATAGAAGAGTTATACATGGAGTAAGTGAAATAGCTCTCGTTCTCGTTCGAAACAAAGGTGAAATTGTATAAGAAATTCGCCCTCATTTCAGGGACCAAGCTAAAAATTTGGCCGTTCCAAGGACCGCTAGTCCAATACTCTTCAGACTTGTTCCAAAGAATCAAGTACGAGGTGGTCCCTTTCGGGTCAAGCTCCAGAGAGAAGAGACCCGTCGCAGGATCTTCTTTGTTCTTCCAGGAAGTGAGATATTGAGGCTGCTTTGTTTTAGTGTCGAGTTTAATTTTACCACCAGGAAGCCACGTGTCGGATGGGTTATCAAAACTTTGCCATATGTTTTCTGAAGATTCCGGCTTGTCTTTTAGGACAAGATTCCCAGAATCCTGGAGTATAGCAACGGCAGAGTCTGAGGAGGTGGCATTCAAGTTTGTCGACCAAACTGGAATTCGGGACTCATTGAAGAGAACCAAATTTCCGTTTGATATAACTAATTTGGCGGAGTTTTTATCAGAGACCGGGTTGTCTCTGTTAGCCACCCAAACAATGGTCTGTTGAGAGACCTTTTTATACCAGATGCCTATGTAGTAGTTTGAGGAATTACCTGGCTTGAAGAAACCCAATTCGAAGACACCACCAGATGAGATGATAGTTTGATCCCCAGAAAGAGTTTGATTCGCAGAGATGGTATCAGCTGCCAGCGAAGGAATGGTGTGAAAAAAGAAACAGAGGAGAAGAACAAAGAGAAAACACCGTAGGTTCTCCATCTTGGCCACGGCTTCACAGAAGCAAAGGAAATGAGACAGATCCGATATGTTTTATTGCCGGGGAAGAGGTGTGACCTGGTCGAGGTGGACTCATGGAATAATATATTGACTGTTATGCCCTTGTGGCCATCAACTCCAGGATTTATGAGCAGAGGCTGTGCCGTGCGGATTAAAATTGTCGCCGAGTTGTCAACATATTGTCATTAAGACTAAAGGCCTCTAAGGGCAAGCCATTTCAATGTCGTTCTTAGGCGATTAATGAATGTCTTGGCCACCGACGGCTTAATATATTGATGTCGACCATGTTTCGAGGTGCAGGTATTATTTATTTCTCTACACTGTTCTTTACGGTGCTTATTGGTCATTTTATAGAAGGCACTTCCGTGGTCGTGTCTGAGTTTTGAAGTCATGCCATGTGAACATCGTGGCACGGAGTCAAACCACACATTCTTGCTTTTGGTAAATTATAAGGCGACATATTTGACTTTTGCAGACGGGGCTGGCAGCGGCATCCCGGTGGCAAATTATTTTCTGCTTCTCAATCGTCAGTTCGTCATGCTGTTAATTAAATACTAGTGTCCACTAAAATTCTTATCAGAATAATATCCAAAAGTTATCAGGTGAGGTTGACGGGTCTTATTTAAAATTTTATATATAAATTTTACTCGTATCTCTTAACATGTGTTTGTTTTTTAATAATGGCCGAATACAAGAAATACAACTTGAATCGGTTTCCCTTGTAGTGCATTAAATAAGATAGTGATAGAGGAACAAGTTGGAAGATTGGTTGGGAAAAGACAAAGTGATATTAATGGATTTCTTGAGGGAAAACGCACTGCAATCACTATCACGGCTTTCACCACAAAATACTGAAGCTGATGTGCATTGAGGCGGGTTTTTTTTTTGGGGGGGGGGTTGTTAGGGATTGGATTTCAAACCCCATGTTTGGGGGTCAAATACTGAAATTTTCTCCTCCACCTTTTTTGATCTGTTCCTGAGATGGAGAATGATGAAGAGGTATCTCCCTTTCCCTGTACTTTGTAATATTTGTCTTTGAATACAATAGTATTCAACTTCTCATTAAAAAAGAAAAACTGAGATGTTCATGGCGATCATCTAATTTGCTTTCTTAATTTTTTGGGTGGCTGGGGCAAATTTCATCAGGACTGTCATTTTCTCCAGGGCACATGGTACATGAGTCCTTTTGCTTTTTGTAAATTTAAGAGTCTTCCCATAAAATAAAAAACGGACCACCCAAAAAGGTCAGGACTGACAGCGGCTAGCGTCTGAATGGCATGTGAGATTTTGAGTTTTCAAGCCTTGTTTGTAAGAAAGCTCTCAATAAAACCTTAGCTATTGCAAAATGCAAATGGCATCCTCTCTGAAGTCACCATGCAAAGGAGGTGGTTCATGGGTTGACACTTCTCTGTTCCTGTTGGTGGCCCTTGACTTTGAGAGGATGAAAGGCCTTCAAGCTGTAATCCATGGCTGCTATGAAACTCCAGCTAAGATCGTGCAAAGTCATGGTGCGAAGCTTCGCAATTAATCCCTCTATAACGGACATACTTTTTTATTTCTTTTTTCGCAGATTCAGAATGTGAAGAAACTCTATCTAGGAAACAAGATCACAACCAACCACCATTTGCCAGATGAGTTGTAGTGGTATATACGTGTACTTAGATAATTTGAACTCAAAACAGCGCAATAATTTCCCAGGTCCTATTTTAAAACCCTTACAGGTTTTAATAAGTTCAAATGGCCAACCAAACTTCTTAATTAACATTTAGTTAACTCAATTAACTCATTAAACCTAATAACTAATTAATTGAACTCAGATTAAATTCTACGATGTTACACAGAAGACCATTATTTGATTTGCATGACAAGCGAAAGTAGTGTGAATAAAAGGAACTTGGGAAAAAAATTGTGACTTCTCACACACCTTTCATTCTCTATATGTGTCTCTTGGTCTCATCTTCTTTCTTCTAAATAAAGGGGGCTGAAATGTTAATAAGGGGGAAAAAGTAAAAAAACCTCTTCTTTCTTCTCCTTAATCTTAGGCTTCTCTTTCTGTGAGTTTTTTCTTTCTCTTTTGCCACAGGTTTTGGGATCGGAGAAAGAAGCTCGACCTGTACGTGACTCTTCCTTTGTACTCTTTCCAAGGCCTTAAGCGGATCGGCGTTCTCTCCTTTCACAACATCAATTTCATCTTCTCCTCCACTGGCAACCTGAAGAACTCATACGCCACCTCTGACATTTTCTTCACCGCCTCTAAGTCCACCCCATGGTTAATCACTTGCAGATTCCTTGAATTTTAGCTGAACAAAGCACACTGGCGCACACATGCGCATCAAGATTAACATGAATTAATTGAAACGGCGTAGAAAAAGCCATAGGACTTATAGGCTTGACTGAATCAGTTAAAAATTTGAGGCCCATCAAAGGAGGACAAGTCTATAATGTAAACATCCTAACATGCAAAGACCTGAAGAGACGGTAAATTGAGGAAGGTTGGAGTGGCAAATTATAGAGGATAGCATCTTGGCTTTCATATTCGAGTTTGAAAGAAGGGGCGGAGAAGGGAGAAGAAGAAGAAGAATTAAGAAGGGAGGGAGGAAGGTTTAAACGCAACAGACTCAAATGAATCGAAAACTCAAGCTGAGGTAATGCACGATATTAGCCATCATGAAAAACTTCAAAACTGAGGTAAGGCGCGATATTAGCCATCATGAGCTCCTTGTGGTCATTGGAAGCTGACGGCAGAAGTTTGATTGAGGAACAAAGTGATCTTCAAACAAGGAGCTCGATTGAGGAGGAGGGAAAAAAGTTCAAAGAGAGGAGAGAATGACAAGTGTGAAATCATTTGTCAAAATAACATCTAACAATCAGAAGTTAGTTCAAATGAATGGCGGGGTAAAGTTTCAGAACCATATCGTTTTAAAGAAAAGTTTAGAATACTTGCACCTTCCGCGTCAAAAGATTCTAGACATTTTTACGCTTTAATCCTTTATTAATTTAAAAACGTAGCATATAATCGAACGGTAAACGTGAAGACTCTGAAGTGTCAAGCCCAGCACGACACGTCGACACCACCTCCGCCAGCGTCCAGGCTCCAGTGGCCCCTACGTCTTCGTCGAGAATCTGGGATCTTCTCCGTCTCCGACAACTCCTTCATCTTCGTTGAGATTTCGCCCCGCGGCTTCTTCATCTTCGTTGAGATCTTCGTCCAGCGGCTCCTTCATCTCCGACGGCGGAATCAGTTCTTCGATCACTCTGGACGGCTGACATTAGATAAAAGTTCTTCGTTGTCGCTCGTCGGCCGGATCTGTTACTTGCTAGACTCCATCAGGCAGACTTCAGTTCTTCGTGCTTCTTGCTTGTTCTACTGAATCAGGTTCTTCCTCATTTGAATTCCACCCATTTAAGTCTTAATCGCTGTTCTGGCTGGTCTCTGCTGTGTGTTATTTGTTGTTCTGAATTCTCCTCTTCTTTGCTTTATTCGTTGTTTTATCATTTCCTCGTCTAAGTTTTATTCTCTGTTCACTATCTGTGCATGCTTCGGTTTTAAGTTTTCTTCCCAACCTCTGGTCTAGGTAAGATGGCAAGTAACAAGAACCAGAACACTGTTGAATCTGGCTTTGCTAATCAAGAACTTTTATTTATTAAATTGGTCTGTTGTACCTTTGGTTGATTTCTTCTTGTCGTTTTCAACCAGATTGCACTTAATGTATTGATTAAAATATTGTTCTTGTATTTTAATCGGATTGTGATGTTATTGTAGGCTTTAATAAGCTTAACGCCTATTTAAGGCCTTTGAAACCTTAAAAGTAGGCCTAATTAATCAGGGACGCAAGGCAGAACCTTTTCCAGAAATTAAAGCCATGGCTTCGAAGCTGCTTTTGTTGAGACGGCTCTCAAGGTCTGTGAAGCCGTCGCTAGCATTCCCTTCTTCAAATTCCTACTCTTTGGTCTATGGGTCTCGCCTTCTTCCTTTAAAGGCGTTCAAATTCTGCTTTTCTTGGAGAATATCCATCTGCCTCCTCCTTCAACCTCTTGTAGGAGCTATTGCTCTCGCAGTTTGAGCGTTGAAGGCCCGGCTGCTATTGATTACCGGTATGAAGTCTCCGTTTTTTTTTTTTTTTTTAACTTGGTTCATACTTTCCTCCCTATTTGATCCCCAAACCAAAGAAAGGAAGGGGAAGAAGTAGTTTGTTTGAAATTTCAGATTTAACGGAATTTTCTGTTTGTTTAGTTCATCTGTAGTCAGTTAACAGCATCAACATCATGGTTAAGTTGCTTGGTTAAATTTCAGTACCCAATTGCCTATGCTGCCACGGCTGTTATTGAATTGGTTTATCTTTCTTATTTTATGCAAGAAGTTATATAATTTACTAACTTAACAACATTGGTGGCATCCCTTTATTATAATAGGGAAATAAATTTTTGTTAATGATTGATGTGGATGCAGTTCTATACTGCAGGAGGATGAATTCCACAGACTGGCAAATAATGCAATACATGACCTGCAAGAGAAACTCGAGGTACCTCTAGCTGTTGTTTAATCATAACATTGACATCTACTACAAATTTTTGAGTTGATTTATCCTAACATCTTTTCTTATACTTATCTCTTTGGAAAATAAGCTATAGCTGTAACGGAAACATGATATTTACACTTAGGCACTTATCATCTAATTTTGCCTTGTTGATTGCCAAGGCTATGGAGATTCTGTTGAAGTTGATGGATTTGATATAGACTATGGGGTAAGGACAATTGTCTGGACTCTTGATAACAGAAAAATGGATAATCAATTATTTATTCAGAAAGACAATACAATTTTGATAGATTTTTAAACTACAAATTGATGTTGTTTTGCAGTATTTGTAGCTAGTCAAATTGTCAAGTTTACAATTTGATAACTGAAATTAAATTTTGTTATTTGTTTTTCTAAAATTATATTTCTTAAAGCCTTTTTTATTAATAATTTTATTGAGCCAATTTTTATTTATAATTGTTGGTGTTGGTCTTTTTGACAATTTCCCTACTAGTTTCAAGAAGTGAATTTCTTGTTTGGAGCATGAACCATTTGTTTTAATAAGTCCTTGCATTTTCCAGAGTGATGTGTTGACAGTAAAACTGGGGGATCTGGGCACCTATGTAGTAAACAAACAAACACCAAATAGACAAATATGGCTGTCTTCTCCGTCAGGTATTCATTCATGCCTATCGGTTGTCTTCTGTTCAGAATGTTCTATGCAGGGGTGCTATTTTGTCTTGAATATTTGTAATTTAGATTACATGCGAATAGCTCATTCTGTCTTGTGAAAAGCATGCTAGCTGTGCGTTATTTTACATGCTGAGTTGTTCTGTTATGGCTGAATACCAATATTTGTGGAATAAATGCCAGATTCTATTAAAAGATGGTCTTAGAAAGTTTGCATAAATTATAATGTGCAGGCTACAGCACTCTGGAAGCTGGATAGCTTTCAACTTTGAAATTGATGCCCTTTGACTACTCATTGGTCTTACTTTTTCAGTGTAGAAGAGGACGGAGGAGGAGTTCTAATTGGTTTAAAATCTCCTCTCTGCTATTTTGGAAATTTCCGGCGTATATGATTTGAAATAAGTAAACAAAGTGCAGCTTTTATGAAAGAACCCATTTACTCTTTTTTTTCCCCCTTAAGGAGAAAATTTTTTCATTTTCGTTTGCAAACTGAGGGCAGGGATATTTGATGTTTGTGGTGAGTGGTATGTCTTATAATTTTGATGAGATAGCTGCGGTTGTAGCCCCTGTATGTGGAGATTTGAATACTTCATCCGCCCTAGAACATGCATAGACAAACTTGTTCATGCACTTTTGAAAGAGATGGTGTCTTACAATCATCATGTGTCCTTTTTCTTTTCTGGGAATTACTTAAGTATAGCACTAAGTTAGCTCTCAGTGACATGGTGATTGATTATAGTGATTTAAATTATGTAGTTATGTCTTAGAGGCCTTTGCTATTCCCATGTCTTCAGGCTTTATTTCTATCTGTTAAAAGTCTAAATTTAAGTATTAGACTGAGAATCTTGAGAAAGCATTTAATGGTGGGAAAACTTAACCTATGGCTCTCTGCTGAATTACCTTTTACTGAAGTCAAGGTATTTTGGTCCTCTACACAATTGTCAGATTCATATCAAGGAAAGTTTTATTCTTATCACGGGCATATTATCTCTCTAATATAGCTAGTTTGGACTGGTGTGGGTTCTCAACTGAAAAATGTGTTTTCTTGTCTACATCAAATATATTTTAATCATTTTAGCTTTTTCCATAAATGTTCCATTATCTCTTGGACGCTTGCGTAATGGATTTTATCTCTGTTTGTCGTGGTCCATCTAGGTTTGATTGGGATCTGGAAGGTAAAGCTTGGATTTATAGGCGGAACAAAGCAAAGTTGTACAAAGTCTTGGAAGATGAATTGGAGCAATTGTGTGGCAAATCCATAGCTCTTTCCTAAGCTGTTGGGAAAGGTTACCTACAATCCGAGTTCATTTTTTATAAAAAGAAATTATTGATGATCAATTTTGATGTTCATGTGTACTTTTAGGCTCTCTTCTCGCCTTTACCTCTTTACTGGATTGTATCAATTACACTGATTTATATAAATCGATTGTGCCATCTAAATAATAATCTGTGTAAGAAATCCAGGTCTAAACGTACTGTTGTACTCATTTATAGAATGTTTTATGGAATTGTAGCTGCAATTATAGTGTACATACCATTCCATGGGCATTTGGGCATGCACTTGGAGGTTTAGGCGAGTAGGAAATTCTGTCCGCTGATTAAAACAAGTTCATCATATACATGCCCTTTCTGGTAAACTAACCTGAACTGTTATCCTCTAACAATAAAGTTGGGTTGATGAAAGGTAAAAAGCTAAAGAGGGATATGCAGAAATAATCTAGCTGAGATTTTGAACATTTGTTTGCTAGTGCAAAATCAAGCCAAAGTTGCCAATGAATTAAAAATAGTTTATTTACTTCGTCAATCAGATCCCAAAAAAGTGTTGGGCGAAATAAATAAATAAATAAATAAATCTCTCTATAAGATTTAGAGCCTCTGCGGTCAGTAAAAACAGCGACTTTACTCCATTCCTGCCTATCGGTAAACATTCAACCCTGCAATAATCACCTTTGTTTCTGCAATGGCTGGTGGCACATGATACCATCCTGCAGCAGAATCTTGATACCTATGACCTCTCTATAAGAAACTGATTCACCCTGACTTACGGAAGCAGCTAGCTAATAAGGTTTTGTTCCCCTCTTGCTTTTGAGTTTGGCGTGGGTCCACAAAATGAATACTTTCTTAATCTTATTTGTAAATTGTTTTTATCAACATCATCAATGTAAATATAAAAAAAAAGTACAAATAATAAAAATATATTCTTATATAACAAATTCAAAAAAGATTGTGATTTTTAAAAAAATGGACCATTGGATGGAAAAGTCAGAAGTGATTCTTGAAAGGATGAATCATTAAGCCAAATCTCAAATTAAACCATCAAAATATTGAAAGCAAAATAAAGAGGAAGGGAGAGCTAAAACTTTGCTATACAAAACAAAGCTCTAGCCCGAACAAACTATAAACTTGATTAGTCGGGTTTTGATACTATGAAAGAAGTTAGGAGAGAAGGAAAAGGTACTTGAAAAAGTGTCATGTTGAAATATTTTCATTATCTAATCATAATTAACTCCAAAATTTAATATAATTAAGGGATTAATCCACAAGAGATCACCAAGTTTGAAATTTGTAGAAATAGATTCTCAAGTTTTTCATAGTTTTAAAATAAATTAAAATCACTCATCAAACCTTTAATTAGAGTGAAATGATGTTTCAGAAGCGTAAGATACCTCAGAGAAGTCAAAAAGATTCAAAAATAATTGAAAAATATCACACGCTGAAAAACAGAGTAGTGCATCGCGGCTTGTGCAAGATGTGTCATGGCTTCTGACTCTTTGTGCCACACGCCACAACATGTTACACATTTATGATAGCATTTTTGCTGTCATTTGACAACAAATCTTGGCAACTTTTGGCATGCTCCAATTCTCCCTCTGATGTCCAAATGAAATAATCTAGATGTCTACGAAAAGATCTTTTCATAAACTAGCTAATGACATGAGTTTTACTTCGAAATTAATTCACATGAGGAATTTAGTCATCCAAATATATTTTCCTACTTTTCACAACTATAGGTATGTTTAAAACCCCCTACTTATGCTAAAAACTATTCATAACACCTAAATAACACTTATAGGACTCCCTCTATAAGACACCACACGCATATAATTCCAAGCATATAAAATTTCACTCCTTAACCTCTTAATATCAAAAATAAAAGGGGAGGTTTTAGCATTGCATAATCCATTTAACACTTGCAATTTAAACCAAAATAGCGACTCTATACTTATACTAGTATTTTGACCTTAATAAACACTTGAACAACTTACAGTCAACAATCCAGAGCCTAAAATACATCCTAAAGATCATTCAAAACAAAATAGTGCAAGTACATGCAAAAATATATCCTAATTGACAATATCCAATACATTACACAAAATAAATGGAATGGGGAGGCTTTACAGTAGGAATTTCACCAATTCCTAAGCTTCCAAAGCCTTTCCTTCTTCTACACCAAAGTTAGAGCCTGAAAAATATTGAAAGAAAGGGGTGAGTTTAACTACCCAATAGCCAAGGTCTACCTACCATATATAGTTGTCAATTGAATAAAGATACATAATTAAGTTGATATTGAAAGAGAGGGAAGAGTTTAACTACTCAGTAATCAAGGTACACCTACCATATATAGTTGTATATCAATTGAATAAAGATACATAATTGAAGTTGATTTTCTCAAAACATAAGCACTATCATATGTAACACCAAATTTTCATTCCTCATTTAATTCATGTACATAATTTTAATTTCAAATTACATATACATTGCCACAAGACACATAAACATGTGACCATGACCTAATTTATTATCAAGACTTGTCATAAACTTAAACAACCACGTGACACGTCATATAAACACATATGCATGATCAAACCATCCTTATATCTTTCTTTTTTTTTGACTAAAATCATGGGCTATAATATTAAACAGGGCTCTATTCGTGTGACTGGACTATCCAAACTCACCGATTGTGAGGTATAGCCCAACCAAAAATCACAAGATTAACTATCAAACTATGGTTTTCTCTACCCTCGAATCTTTGTGGTGTCATATATCCTAAGTTAAACTCCTTGAAAAACTAGTGGAGATAACTATGTTCTAGTCTCTCAACAAACTATAGACAGTTCCTTAAAAAATTATAAGACAAGGCTATACCCTCTTATACCGAAAGGCAGCCAAAATACCATATGAATTTTTCTACTCTTTTCCTTAAGCGAACTCCAACCAACTGATCATACAATGATGATACTCACTCATTTCACAACTGTATTTATTTAATACTAACACACTGGGCTTACGATAAATATGTTACCCAATGAGCATTCATAATATTTTCACAACTGTCCTTCACTTTACTAAATCATCAATTTCTTCATTAATAAAACAATCATCACATTGCATACATCACATTTCTCATCCTAAAGTATATACATGTTCATAATTTTAAAAATCATTTTGACTCTAATTCCACATTTCAAGTCAAAATAAAACTTAACGCACATTCACAATTCAAACAATTATGAAGGCCCATAACATGCTTTCACATTTAAAGTCAAATCATATATGCCAATATGCACATTTCACAATTAACAATCAATTAACAAACAATCATATAAAGTAGGGTTCACTTGGTTACCTCAATCAAAGGTTTACCCCTTAATAACTAGTTTCCAAGCTTAAATTTCAAGGTGCCCAAATGCTTAATCTATAATTAATCAATTCTAAACTCATTAATATTATCAAAAATACATTTCTACTCTCACATTTTCACTTCTAAAATACCCAGCATCCTTATTCCTCTGTCATTAATGGCTCAACAACTTTTGTAAATTTTAGATTTAATGCCCATTTTCGAACATTAATGATATTCACCAACTAACAATCTCTAAAACCATTAATGTTAGGTTTAAGTATCTAAATAACTTCCTTAACTTTATTTAAGTCAATGGATTAGGAATCTTAACTCTATGTGGACCGAAAATCATCATCCCCATTCAAACACTAACTCAAATCTTTGAGAAAATGAAAGAGAAAGTGAGGAAAGGGTTTAGGAATCTTACCTTAAGTGATTTGAAGTTCCAAACCCTCTTAAATTTTTTCTAAAATTGTGCCCTAGTAGAGCCCTCTTTATTCTTTTCGTTTTCTCTCCCACTCCTTTGTTTTTGGATATTGATTCGTAGAATTCACAATTAAATTTTGCAGAATGCATACCATGCACCATGGGGCCTGTCCCCATGCTCCGTGGCATGTGGTACAAAGAAAGCAATCGCATGTTTCTTGGCCCTATGCACTGCAGTGTATAACACACGTGTCATGGCATATGGCCCATAGGCTTTTCTATTTGTTTTTCTCTACTTTTTGATCCCTAAGTGACCTAATTTCACTTTAAACCTAAATTATACCTAAAATTCTAATTAAAACCACTTATTAGTCCCCTCTAACCACACACTACATAAATCCTACTTAATTATCCTCAATTAGGTTTATCATTATAGGGTGAATTTGCAGGATATTACACATGCTCTATTGATATAAAGGACATACAATATATAAATGTACCTAATAACAACTAATGAATATTGTAATAATATCCAATGAATATAAAATATTTTCTAAATCTTAATGAATAATATATATTGAGAGAATAAATCTTTATCTCAACAAAATTGAAAGCAGCAAGATAACTTCCATTGTGCAAAGAGATCCATAACAGTAATGAGTGACAATTATTTACCCCCTCCGACCATCTTATTGCATATCTAGTTAGCCACATTAAAAATTCCAAGTGTAGGCTTATTGAATGCAAAACATTTATTATTATTTGCATAATAATTGAACTTCAATGCACAATGCTCGCAGAATTAGTGCTTGCAGTTTGTTACAACAGGTTCCATAAAGGGATTCTTACATATGAAACATGTAAATAGTGATGAATCATTATCATCTTCTCCATCAAATTAGCATCCTCTTCATTTGAATCCTCTCATGCAACCAAGCTCATTCTCTCAGCTTTCTTAGCTTCCTATAATCTCCTCGATCATGTATAAACTTAAACGAATTACCATACCTATAATAACTAGTCTCTTTGTAATCCTTAAATATGTCTAGATGACAATCAAATTTTTTTAAAACTCTTATATGAGTTAATGCCCTAAGATGACCCCTCACCCTACCAGCTTGTTTCAATAGCAATTGTTTATTCTTGACAAAAGCCAACCTTGTAATCTTTGTAGCTATTGAAGCCCTTGTATAATTTTTCTTCTCTAAAACTTGTTCCTTTACCCTTCAATCTATCATTTGTTTGCTTAAGGGCTCTTTCATGAATAGCTTAAGTATCTTTTGAAAACTTGGTTTCAATCTTAAGAGTCACAATTGCTTTGTTGTCATGTTGAACTTGAATCTCATCTGAAGATTTAAAATGAAATGGCTACTTTAGGCTCCTTTTATACCTAAGATGCAGTTCTTTTTTTAGGGCTA